ATATATATTCATGCTTCTCACCCAGTAGTGGTCATTCTGTGGACTTTCTGTGGGCTCTTCTATGGTCTCCCCCACAGGTGTGGGCAGCAGGAGAGGAGAGGAAGGCTTTCCGTCCTCCTCTGCCTCCAGAGTGGAATTATCCTGGAGGATCTTCACGCTGAACGCTGGCACAGAGACACTGGCCTGAAAACAGCAACATTTTGTTCAATACCCTTCCAAACCACAAAGCATCCATGAACAGGCATGTCATGAAAGCCTGATTTACACAGAGCAGGGAAATGAAAACCAGCTCAAAGAGACATTGCGTGTGTAGAGCTGCCACAAGACTGATTCAAAGATCAAGAGTACCCAACCACACAAATTGCATTTGGATATGAAAAGAAACACAACCTTGTCGATCGATTTTCCAAATGGCCACAGAAAATAGCAGGACAACTTCCAGCAAAGATTCGCTGAAACAAAAAAGTACTTTTGTGATCCAGAGAGACACACTAAAATGTATCAATACTTATTTAGATAAATTCTTACCATAGGGGATGCCAAAAACTGTGAGGAACATTAGGAGTCCAATGAAAACATAAACCAGAGAGATCCACCAGCCAAACAGAAACACGTAGAGAACATTGCCACAAGTGAACAATGAACCCACTGAAACCCGAGAATAAAAGAGACTGATGTTATTACAATAAAGGGGAACAAATTGTGTGTAATCAAAGACTATAGAATACCCAAGACGTGTCACTCGTATAGTTTTGAATGGGGAAAAATGCAACGCTCAATATGGCCGCTCAATCGCAGGAAGCCCCGCCTTCTGAATGAAAGAGCCAATCGCTAATTGGTAAAGTCAGCGAGTCACTGCAGCTGCCATTAGAAGTCCCGGTTGCTATAGAAACAGTAGGCGTTCTGAGACGTGCTCTTAGGACTGCGCATGCGCACTGGCTGATCTAGCCTGAAAAATAAGCTTTTTATAACACTATTTGAGCAAAAGTAACAACATTTATGACACAGTTGTTGTCAGATTTCTTTGGTGATTTCAAATATGAAATTTAATCGTAAGCTCAGTGAACAGTTTTGGAGAATTTGATGTTTCCCCATTCAAAGATATAGGAGTTGCACTTGCATGACCGAGAGGCATTTCAAAGATAGCCGCCGAGTGACATGACTTGTCTTAAAGAGACTTTGGTGTAATGTAATGCCACATTTTTCTATTTATTGGATTTCCTTTATTTTTGTACAATAAAACATCATCAAAATAATGCAGTACAACATTTTCTAGATTTCTTCTTAAATAAAAAAGTATACTGTTGATTGCAATATACAGTACCCGTTTGAAAGAAGTTTTGATTATTTAATAAAAATAATTATATAATTAATAATAAATGCAATTAGTAATTGTTAATAATTAATTAATATCAAACAAATTTATTTTATTAACTATAATACTTCCATTTATGTTATTTCATAGTTTAATTGCTTTTTCAAATAATAGTAATAATAAAAAATGAGTAGGTATGGACAGACATTTTCCAGAGACTATACATGTACTACAGAAGGAAATGAGAAGAGCTTGGTCTAACCTGAACAAGGTTTAATAACGTTCAGCTCAGAGTAAAGCTCCTTCACAATGTTCGACCTGTCTTCAAAGGGACGCTCTGTCACATGACTCTTCCACTTCCTGAAGCCAAACTTAAATGAAGAGAACAGAATGACATCAGCATCAAAAATACGCTAAATGAAACTGGACATAAGTGCTCAGTGCACATTTACCTTATAATTATTCGCGAGTTTTTGGGCCTCAACTTCATTTTCAGCACTTATGGTGGTCTTGCACGGGTTCTCATCCCATATTTCATCCCCAAAGCTGCATGCTGTAAAGAAGTTGGAAAAACGGACAAATAAGGGGTAGTAGAATCCTGTTAGAAAGCAAGTATAGAAAAAAAACACCCTTGCTCTTTTGCAAAGTGTGTCTGGGGTCTCACTTCTCTGTGGGTGTTTCGGTGTGCAGGAGGCGCTTGTTTGCAACAAACAGGAGTGAGTGTGAGCATCGCTGGCTTCTAAGTGAACGTGAGCTACACAAACCCTGTCACAGCATGAAGCAGGCTGATGACCTCCATCATGGTCCTCTGGAGAATCTGAGGAATGAGACGAAATCATAGCATGGTTTATTATTAAGCATTTGCATCTATTTGGTTTTATTTAAATAATAATATTTTCCAAACGTATTCATTCAAATTCCGTAGAATCGGCAGCATAAAGCTGTTAATTGTGAAAAACGTAGGCTAAACGTTAATTTAACTTTAAAAACGAAAAATGTTAATTGTACCTAAAACGTAATAATGAACATGGTTCAAATATGGCTTACATGTAATTAATTGAATGCAATTATGATAAATATCTCAACCTGGTTACTGTGTATTTGAAACATACACATTGGTTTATTAGTAGTGACATAAATCTCATTTTTATGTTTCACTTATGACTGACAAATATGCATCATGTTAAGTTAATTAGTTTATGTTAAAACTGTGTCATCCAAACAAATGGAAATTTTAAATGCAATTACATACATCTTAAACATTAGGCGGCCTTATCAATTTAAAACTTAAACTTCTTTTTTGTGAAATGTTTTTCTTTAAAAAGTGTTTGCGCTTTATTTCTTTGTAATAAATTCCACTTGGTTTTATATTTTATGTAATGCAATTATATCAATACATTTTTTTAAGTGTGACTTAAATATCAAATAAAAAAGTACAGTATTTTCAATAACTGATCATACACATAATTTAAATGCATCTTGGGTGTCAACATCAACACGTTTGAATTCATATCTAGCCAAAGATATGAAATCTGCCGACAGGAAACACTTGTATAGAAATTGGGGAAGTGTAGACTGATGCGGTCTCAAGGTTTCAGTACCATTTCACAACAGAAACCTGACTGGCTGCAAATGCATTACAAGAAATCCTTTTATGAGAAATTCTGATTCATTTATGTCCAGGATAAATCACAAAACAAGTTATAAAAATCCATTAATGTGAAATACAATGGACAGTCAAGCATTATTCATGTCAAGTGAATTAATGATCATGTTACATCCAGTGTTGCATATCAAAAGTCCTAAGTAATTGGAACAAAGGTGTAACTGTCTGCTGTAATAAAATAACGCAGTGCACTATTGACAATACAAGTCAGTGGATTCTTTTTAGTCCTTCAGCTTACACAAAATGGCCTTATTTTGTATTATCGTTTACCTTGCTTGTCTGTGTCGAGTTTTCTTCTTCGCGTCTCTACATTCGTTGTCATTTCAGCACATTCACACAGTCTCGAATGACAGACAGTTCTTCTGTAATCAGCCTCATGTGATCCAAGCGCACTTACGCCGAGCGGCCGTGTTGCCAGATCTCGCTAAGAAAAATGATGCGAACTGGTCTGACGACACAAACCCAAAGTACGCTAATATCTCTCCACCAAAACAGGTCAAATAAGGCACTACCGTTTCTCGAGATTTTCAGAACACTCTTATACGATCCGAATCCGTCATACTTTCTTATGCTATGGTGTAAAATAAACGTTAAAAACGCAGCATTAAGTCGGTTATAATAAGCGGACATGGCAACCCCGTGCGAATCGCTTAATCTAATGGGAAATGTAGTTCTGATACTCATTGTATAAACGTTTGCATTTAAAACAAATTTGAAGATGCAGAGTTTGTCTTCACGTGCACCAATTCAATAAACAAAGCTTATTAAAATTTAAATATTTATTTTAAAGTACTTTCACAAAGCTGACATAAAAGTCAGAAAGCATTCCAAAATGAAATCATAGCAAATATTAAAAGTAACCACTGTTGTATAATTGCCTTATAACATGAAACAATATTTATTAAATAATGCATCCCATGTCGATATCATCATCTAGCATCAGAAAAGTCACAGTATAATCAATGCACACATTCTGTAAAAATAAGGTTCCTGGGTCATTACTACATAAGCATAACCTGAATAACCTTTGTTTAATGGTAAACTTCACTTGCATTATGCAGTACTGAAGAAACACTTATTTTGCAAGGCATTAAGATTTCTAAACACATGCAGAGATGTTACAAGGGTCCTTTCCACCACTAGTCTGGATATTACTAAAGTTTAGCAGTACTAAAGAAACACTTATTTTGCAAGGCATTAAGATTTCTAAACACATGCAGAGATGTTACAAGGGTCCTTTCCACCACTAGTCTGGATATCCAAAGCACTTAGTGTGGTCAGAAAAAAATATTTGCATTCACTTGGCAAGAAAACGTTTGGCAGTGGAGATGTTCTCGAAGGTTCTCAAACGAGGTCTGTGGTGTTCACAAATGTCTATTATATTAAGAAATATCGCTCAAAATGCCAGAGGCAGTCATTTCTTGTCCATTTTCTAACATTTTGAGAAGATACCAATGGCCTACCAAGTGGACCACCTGCTACCAGTAGATATCAAACTGCTCCACTAAGCAATTAAAGCTAGGTTGTTAGTGCAGAGCCCTAACGTTTAGGTAGGTAAACAAGCTTCTACACATTGAAAAACGGGAATATTTGGTAAAAAATGTTCTGTAAGAGGTTATGTGAGGAGTCTGGCCACCTGCGTCTTCACCTCCTCATCTGGATGGGACAGCAGCAGGGGCAGCTTACGGTGCAGCTGAGAGGAGCTGTCCAGTAGAACACAGTACAGAGAGTCCTGCCGCCTCCTCAGAGCTTCAGCCACCTGAGCAGAGGGTCTCCACGCATGCAGGTTCCCCACAAAAAACAACAGGCGGAGAAGAACAGATGTGCTTGTGCAGCCGTCAAACAACAAAATCAAAGAGGCTGGAGCCTGTGAACAGATTTACAAGTAAATGGAGGAGTTTAGTGCCAATATATAAAAGCTCTTAAAACTAAGAGAAGAACTAAATTATGGCTGAATGATGAATCAAAATAAAGCTAGAATCATGATATAGCTTAGTGCAATTATCAAATCACAAAGATTGCGATTTGAGTAAATACATGCGTTTTTCAGAGTAAAGCGCTTGCTGCAGTTTTCCGCTAAAATAAAAGGTTAACGATAGTTTAACTTTGAAAATTAAGGAATTAAGACAGCCATAATTTGTAAGGGCTTCACAACTTGGCCAAAATGTGTATATCAACATGAAAGTAAAAAAAAAAAAAAAAAATATATATATATATATATTTTTGTTTTTCAAAATACAAATGTATAAATTGCAATAGTAATATTTTATTTTGTTTAATGCATTATTTAATAATAATTCTAATCATAAAATAATAATAGATTATTTTATTTTATTTTCATGTTGACACACAAATTTTTGGCCAAACTGTAAAGTCCTACAAACAAGCACAGCAAACTTACTGCCTTATATATATATATATATATACTGTATATACTTTATATAGAAATCACACTTTAAATCACAACTGCAATTTTTATCTGAAGAAAAATATTATTTCGCCCAATCATGCAGCCCTTTGAAAATGAAGAAATTAAGACAGCCATAATTTGAAGGGCTTCACAACTTGGCCAAAAAGTTGTATATCAACAAAACAAAACAAAACAAAAATATTAAATAAATAAAAAATATTATATTATTTTTCTGTCATGTTGACATACAATTTTTTAATTGCAACTGTAATTTTTCTGAAGAAAAATCGCAATAATATTCTTTCCCCAAATTGTGCAGCCCTAAATCTACTAAATCATGGCCACAGAGTGGCCTTAAAATAGACATAAGAATCAACAGCAGGCAATGAGAAAAACTAGGACACCTAGCAACCAAGGCGATTATTTATAGATTTATCTATTTATAATCATATTGTGGTGGTATGACAGAATAGTCACTGAAACCAAGTGCACTGGATCTCACTTACAAAAAAGTGAAAGCATTACAGCAGAAACCATAAAAGACATGCTTGTTCACCTGAGCTTGCACAATATCATCCATCAGATCTGGATTGGAGGAAATATTTACTAGGACCTTCAGGACTTGGATCTGCAGGAACAGATTAACTCTTCAATACATCTGATATTGTAAACATATCATTCAATATGTTACTCCAAAATCACCTGTAGGACTTCATTGCTCACTATGAGTAGAGATAGGAGAAGGGTGATGGAATTCTTCATCAGATGCTGGTGATTATCCGTGACTGACAGATTAGTGAGCAATCGGAGCGCTGCCAGCTGAAGGTCAGAGTTCACCGGTGACATCTCAATCATCTGCATCACCGACGGGACATATATCTGACCAGAAACAAAATGGTGTTATTTTAGTATTATTTATAGTATACATTATTATAGTATTTATTAACATTTTAGGTTTTTAATTAGCTTTTTTATATTTTCAGTTTTCATTTTAGTTTTAGTCATTTTGTTGTGCTTGTCATTTTTATTCATTTTATTTCTATACAGCTTTATTTTATTTCAATTTTAGTTTTAGTACTTTAGTAGTTATTATGAGTGTATACAAATAAAAATAGACCCTTTACAGATTCAAATGATGTATTGCTCTTATTCTGTACGATCAAAAATCACAGAGTAATTTAAGTTCATTTCGGCGTTGTAAGGAAAAAACGCCGGCGCATTCGTCGACCCCAGAGGGTTAACACATACTAATGATTTCAGTTAATTGCCAAGGCAACATTTCTAATTTGCAGTCAAGTTTTTTTTTAAGTTTAAGTTTTTCCATTTAATATTTACATTTTATTTTATTTCAGTTTTATTTTAATTACTGAGAATAGTTTAAGTTAACAACACTGATCTGAAACCAGGGTATTACAGTTAACTCAAACTAAAACTAAATCCATTTTTGTTACTTGAAATTAAATAAATGTTAACTGAAATAAAAAAAAAAATCTAAAAAAACCTTAAACTTATTTTAAGCTAGTTCCAAAGGCAACATTTCTCATTTGTTTAGTACTAAAATAATAAACTCAATAACTAAAAAAAAAAACTATATACAGTCTATAATATACACTACCATTCAAAAGTTTGGGATCAGAACGATTTTTAATGTTTTTTATCTAATATGAGAAACTGTTGTGCTGCTTCATATTTTTTTGGGAACCTGTGATATTTTTTTTCAGGATTCTTTGATGAATAAAAAGTTAAAAAGAAGATCATTTATTTAAAATAGAAATCTTTTCTAACAATATACACTACTGTTCAAAAGTT